AGAGAGGAGAGGAAGAGGAGAAAGGAGAGTGGGGGAGAGAGAGGGAGGGAGAGAGGAGAGAGAGGGGGAGGGAGAAGAGAGAGAGAGGAGAGAGAGGAGAGGAGAGGAACAGGAGAAAGGAGAGTGGGGGAGAGAGGAGAGAGGGTGGGAGAAGAGAGAGAGGAGAGAGAGAGAGAGAGAGGAGAGAAGAGAGGTGGCCGCCCAGATCTGTCCTGTGGAACAGAAAATGACATCCCTGAGCCGGAGACTGCCCACACCTTCACATCAGGAAGGCCAGCCAGGTGGCCCGGCTTCCAGGCTTCTCAGCTTTTCCTTCCCCTCCCTCTCCCAGGATTTCGAAATCAAGGGATCTTTTCCAGTTTCCGCCCCGGGGGAATTTTCATCACTGTGGAGACTAAGAGGATTTGGAAAGCTGGTGGACAACACTGGGAAAGAGACTGAACAGCAAGGAGCGAGGGGTGTCTGAGGGGTGTCCATGGGCAACACTTGTAGACCCAGCATGAGGCCCATTTTAAGCCCCCAAGGCCCCCACTGGGGTGACGTCAGCCGCCCTCCCCCAGTTCACACAAGTGTCCCCCTAGACGAAGGACACTTCATCAGCGAGTTGAATCCATCCAGGTCAATGGAGACACATTCCTGTACTTCCCCCCCACAGAGGTCATTGGGCTCCACACCCAATTCCAATTGGGTGTGGGATGGGGTTCCCCAACGTGACCAAGCAATTCTCGGACACCGGGTGCGGGTTCTACAATCGAAACTCAAGTCTGACACTGCCTACCAGGAGATAGTGGGATCCCGCCGGGTGAAGGCTCAGTCCTACAAGACTGCCCCCCACTCCCACCCCGCCCCAACTCAGATGCCAATCAATGTCCAGGTTGTTGCAGATCTGAGTGTCCAAGAACCCCCTCCTCGATTCCGTTCACTTGCTAGAGCAGCTCACAGGACTCAGGGGAGCGTTTGACTTACTGGGTCACCGGTTTGTTATAAAAGAATATGACTCAAGAGCAGCCAGATGGAAGAGACGCAGGGGGTCAGGCGTGGGGAAAGGACGCTCTCCCCCGCCCCCCCAAATCCCCATATGGTGACGGCTCTGGAAGCTCTCAGCCTCTCCTCCCAGGTGTTATGGAGCGAGATTGATTGAGTCCTTGGCCCTCAGTGACTGGTTCAACCTCCAGCCCTATCCCTTCCCTGGAAGTTCCAACCCTCTGATCACATGGTTGGTTCCCCTGGCATCCAGCCCCCATCCTCAGGTGCTTTTCCCAAAGTCACCCCATCCACCGGACAAGAGATACCTTTATGGTCGCTTTACTTAGGAAATGCTAAGGCAAGCATGTCAGACTCAAAGGCTAACACGGGCCAAACGAACAAGGTGTAAGTGTCTGTGGGGCCGCAAAAAAAAAAAAAAAAAACTTCAATTT